AGGTTATTTGTATTTGAAAAAGCAGTGCTTTTCATAAAGGGTTAGAGGCTGTGATATCAGAAATTGGGAGGAAAAATAGTTTTAAAAAAACCTCTGAGATGATTTTGATGGATCCCAGTTTCCAATTTTGTCATTTTAAGAATCACTGTGGGGTGCCTAGCTGGCTTATTCAATAGAGCATGCGACTCTTGATCTTGGGGTTGTGAGTTCGATCCCCACATTGGGTATAGGGATTACTTAAAAATAAAAAGTCTCATTTATTCATTTGAGACAGAACACGAGTGGGGGTGGGGGCAGAAGGAGAGGGAGAAGCAGACTCCTCATTGAGCAGGGAGCCCAATGTGGGGCTCTATACCAGGACCCCGGGATCATGACCTGAGCCAAAGGCAGATACTTAACCATATGAGCAGCCCAGGCACCCCAAAAATAATCTTTAAACCAAAAAAAGCACAGCCTTATTAGTCTTATTTTAGAAAACAGAAATATACATCATTTCTATCTGAGGTTGTAGGTATTTGAAGAGTTGTTTCTTGAGAACGTAACCCAGAGTCGATGCATATATTGATCAAAAAGTCTGATGAATACGGCTATAGAGGCAAACACTCTGGATGAAATAATAAACTCTTGACCCACCCTGAGGAACTGAACCTAGATGATCTAGATCCTGTTCCCTTATTACCTTGAGCTCTGAGTTCAATATTTTGAAATCTCTTTGACTGTGGTAGCTGTAGCAACCCTACATTTCAGCATGCTGACCAGCAAATAATAAAAAATAGTATAAACAGTAGCTTACTTAATAGTACATATTAAATTAAAATGATAGCTGGTGTCATTTCCTAGAACACTTGGAAAGGACCTAGGGCTAGGGATTCCAGCCCAAGCTCTGTTTCTAATAACATGAGCAGGCTGAGGTTCCTCCTCAGTTGGCTTTGCTGTCAAATTAGGATATCAGTGTGTGCCTATCACTGTTTTAAGGTTAGAGGAATTATCCAGTGAAGAAGCTTAATTGAGGAACTTGCTGCTGGCTGGCTTTGTTGGAAGATCATGCGACTCTTGATCTTGGGGTCTTGAGTTCCAGCCCCATGTTAGGTGTAGAGATTACTTTAAAAAAAAAAAAACCACCACCAAACTTTAAAACAAACTGAAAAAACTTAATCTTTATATCTTTATATCTAAGTTAATAGAATAGATGTAAGGAGGAGATTTCAATGAACAGGAGGAGTAAACATTGAAGAAGAAGCGGAAACAGTAGGTAGAATTGAGAACTAAGAAGAGAGTAGAGATAAGATAGAGAAGATTTCTTTGCAGAAAAGACACTGATTGAACCAAAAACCCAGAAAGGACTCCTAAACCTCCTGGGACTTTGACTGTACTTTTCCGAGGGTTCTCTTTAACTCAGTGCCCAGCTGCTGTTTCAGAGTTGCATCATCTTTTGTTTCCTCTTAGGTGTTCTATTATTCAACAGGAATCTTCAGAGATGCAGGTATTGAGGAGCCAATCTATGCCACCATCGGCGCGGGTGTAGTTAATACCATCTTCACTGTTGTCTCTGTAAGTTGGATGGTGTGATAGTTTGGGGGCAGGGGGAGGGGCATTCTTCCTACACATGTTCAAAGATCGGGTTTGTGTCCTTCCATCTCCCTCCCTACCATCATTTAAAGAGTTGTGGTTGTTTCGTTCTTCTTTGGGAAAGAAGAGCGATTGAATGATGGGTATGAGTAGTCTTCACTCTCTCAAGCAAATATGAAGTGGGTGGAAAAGAGAGAGGTATAAAAGGGATTTGTAGGATGCTTGAAACTCAACTAAAAGGGCACGTGTGACTCTGCCAAGTATCCTGCCATTGGTACGGCACATTCCAGTAGTTCATACAGTTTTCATGAAAGGGAAAGCAGAACTTTTATGTTATATTATTCTTCTTTTAGCTGTTTCTGGTGGAAAGGGCAGGGAGGAGGACTCTCCATATGACTGGCCTTGGAGGGATGGCTGTTTGTTCCATCTTTATGACCATCTCATTGTTACTAAAGGTGCGTGCTCTTTGAGTGAAGGAAAGGGAGGGGCAGCACGGAGAAGAGGTCACAGGTGACTGTGACGTGGGTGGGAGAGGTGAGTTGGAGACCCGGAAAGTCCCATGCCCAGAGTTTTAAGAAAAATGAATCCTCAGAGATAGGTAACTAAACTGCTGTAATTCTTAACATCTATACCACATCCAGCTTGTAAAATACCTTATGTAATTTAATTCTTCAAGTATTCTTGAGGTAATTATTCCCATATTACAGGTGATGAAATGATCTTGGTGCAAAATGACACATGGTGTGAGCGCAAGGCTAGGATTCAAAAACCCAGGCCTTTTGACTCTAAGTCAAAGAACTCCATTGTACCCCAGACAGAGGGAGCTTTTCGTTATCAGTCAGTCCTCATCGCTGGGAGGCCAGATCTATCCAGGTCAAGCTGTCTTGACTACTAACTTTCCTTTGTTCCTCCTCATTTAGGATGAGTATAATTGGATGAGCTTTTTTTGTATCGGGGCTACCTTGGTCTTTGTGGCCTTCTTTGAAATTGGCCCAGGCCCCATTCCCTGGTTTATCGTGGCCGAACTCTTCAGCCAAGGACCCCGCCCAGCCGCGATGGCAGTGGCTGGTTGTTCCAACTGGACCTCCAACTTCCTGGTTGGGCTCCTGTTCCCTTCAGCTGCAGTAAGTAAATTCAAACAAAACTCACCGAGTCCATCTCAAAAGCAGCTCACTTAAGCCAACAGGTTTAAAATTTGGTAACTGACACCACAGAGGGTTAGATATCAAGTGGAGTTTGTGGGTTTTTTGTTTTTTAAAGATTTTACTTATTTTAGAGAGGAAGAGATTGAATGTGGGAGGGGGAGGAGCAGAGGGAGAGGGAGAGAGAGAATCTCAAGCAGACACTGTGCTAAGCATGGAACCTGACCCACGGCTTGATCTCCTGAGCCGAAACCAAGAGTCAGACGCTCAACCAACAGCCACCCAGGCGCCCCAGATAACAAGTGTTGTTTTTTTTTTTTTTTAGATTTTATTTATTTATTTGGCAGAAAGACAGAGAGAGACAGAGTGCAAGCACAAGTAGGCAGAGCGGCAGGCAGGAGAGGGAGAAGCAGGCTCCCCGTTGAGCAGAGAGCTGGATGCAGGGCTCGATCCCAGGACCCCGGGATCATGACCCGAGCCGAAGGCAGACGCTCAACCAACTGAGCTACCTAGGCACCCCCCCCAGATATCAAGTGTTTTAAATCAGATTTTCTTTTATTTTCAGTGGCATATAGAAAAAGAAGGAATGGTAGCAAAAAAATGATTGAAGCAGGAGGGCAAAACTGGGAACTTTTATTTTTTTAAAGTAAACTCTACCCCCAACATGGGGCTCAAACTCAAGACCTGGAGGAGATCAGGAGTCGCATGTTCTACTGACTGAGGCAGCCGGGTACCCCAAAACTGGGAACTTTTAAAAGACCACTGGTCTGAGGTGATTACAGGCATAGTTCTGCCTGGATACAATGATCGTGATGAATGCCAAAGGATTCCAGACCAACACTTAAAATCCACAATTTGAATGAGCTGGCATTAGTGACCTCATGACCTTAAAGGCTCACTAATAATCACAGGATGTTAATGAATGAGTGAGGTAGGTCCTATTATATAAAATGATCCGGAGCTGGTTCCTTAAATAAAGGCAATTGCAGTGGACTTCTAGAATGCATTTCCTATTTCTGTGAGTCTTTCAGAAACCTGGATTTTAAAAATAATCATCGAAAGTCCTAGGGGCACCTGGGTGGCTCAGTCGGTTAAGCGTCTGCCTTCAGCTCAGGTCTTGATCCCGAGGTCCTGGGATCGAGCCCCACTTGTGGTTCCTCGTTCAGCGGGGAGCCTGTTTCTCCCCCTGCTTGTGCTCTATCTCTGACAAATAAATAAAATAAAGGAAAACAAAAGTCCTAAAATACTCAATAGGTATTTGGAAGCAGGGATCTTTAACGAATAGGAAAAGGAATGACGCAGAATTGCAGGGAAATACAGTAAGTGAGCCATGGCATCATAAACATCCGAGGAAGGGGCGCCTGGGTGGTTCAGTCGTTAAGCGTCTGCCCTCGGCTCAGGTCATGATCTCAGGGTCCTTGGATCGAGCCCCCCCTCAGGCTTCCTGCCCAGAGGGAAGCCTGCCTCACCCTCTCCCGCTCCCCCTGCTTGTGTTCCCTCTCTCACTGTGTCTCTCTCTGTCAAATAAAGAAATGAAATCTTTTTTAAAAAAACACCGAGGAAGACTACATGTTCTTGTTAAATGTGGAAGGGTTGTGTCCCTAAGCCTACTAGAAATGGATGGGAAGGGAAGTGGTTTGGCAATGACCAGAATTTACGCTGACACTCCTTTTTCTTTATCTTTTCACTAGTTCTATTTAGGAGCCTATGTTTTTATCATCTTCACTGGCTTCCTCATTGTCTTCTTGGTCTTGACCTTCTTAAAAGTCCCTGAGACTCGTGGCAGGACTTTTGAGGAAATCACACGAGCCTTCGAGGGGCAGGCTCGGGAGGCTAACAGAGCTGAGAATGTCCCCACCGTGGAGATGAACAGGATCCAGCCCATGAAGTAAACCCCACCGTCTAAGCCATGCCTCCTTCCTGCCTCCCTCCCAACATGGAAAAGCAACCTCTCCCCAGATGAGGGAGAGACCTCATCAGCTTGTAACCCAGGACTGTTTCTGAATGCTGCTACTTGATTCCTTTCTCATCCCACAGAGGAACCCAGTGCAGGAATTAGTTGTATCTTCAATGGCTTTCAAAACATTTCATTTCTTGGACATTCTCTTCTGTTTAGGAGAGACCAAGCGAACCTACCTTCATTTCAGGAGGAATTGGCCACTTGCCATCTGACAGCATTGTCATCTCTTCCTGCCTTGGGTTCTAATAGGGCCTCACCAGGGCCAATAGGGGAGGGGAGTAAGGGTGAAGTGCAGTTTCCCCAACCCCCAACTTCCCAGGAAGCAGATCTATATGAGTGTGGAAGGCAGAGAGGGATTAAATAAGAGCAACTTCCTCGCTTCCATACAGCTCTGCAGAGCAAATTAACTTGAGTTTTATTTATTTTATCTTCTGGTTTTATTGCATAAATATTTATTTTTTAAGTGTAAAATAATTTTACCAAATAAAACAAGGAAATTGAGGATAGAGGGAGGCGCTTGAAGAGAGGTTCTAGGGTAGAAGATTTGATACTGGAGCGGTCAAGGTGCAATAAGGGGAAGATTCAGGGAGAAGTATAACGTGTTCTCAGAGGGTACATGATGGGGTGTGTGAAGGTTGCACATTGCCTCTTAACCTTCAGGTGGAAACTCTCAAGTTTATTTTCTCAGAAAAGTGATGTGCCTGTTTTAAGAAGCTACTGGTTACCTTTAGAAATTTTTTCTTTGTTTAAAATAATATGTAGTGTTACTTGAAATCTAGGGTTATTCATATGGGAATTATAGCTCATGGTGGTGGATGGGTTCTAATTTTGGTTGGAGTCCAGAGAAGGGAAGGTTATTTCTAGATATCCTTTCTCCCCTCACTGGACAAAACAACTTCTGCCCCTTAGAGTGGACTCACTGTGGGGGGTGGGGGTTAAAGTATTCCTAATACCCGCCTGGTGGGAGAACCTTCCAAATGAGGAACCCAAAATAGTGGTTCTTGGTAGAGGTTCTGTATTTCTCCATTTTGTTCTTTAGGAGATTTTAGTTGTTGATATTTTGTTTTAAGCCATAGCTTTAAAAGAATTCAGAGGAGAATGTTCATAAACTAACCTGGAATTTGTAACCTCAGCTCTGGGAGAGGATTTTTCCTGAACGATTATTACCTAGTTGAAGTATGTTGTCGCTAAGGGTCATCGCATGCTTGTTCTGTTGCCATATTCGCATAGTATGACGTCAAGCGCCCTTAGGAGACCATACATTTGGGATAATACGAGTAAATGTGCAGTGTAGCCCACACTTGAGAGAGTATGAATGTATGTGCACTGTCACTTTTGCTCTGGTGGAAGTAGATGACTGGTAACTTGTGTCCTTTATGTACCTACAGCCCCCTTTTGAATAGAATGCCTTCAAACTCATCTCTCTATATATAAAGAACACTGCCTCTGCTGGGTGGAATTTGCATCTACGGTTTCATTCCAGACTTCAGAGTTCAGAGGCATCTGGCTACCTTTCCTTGTTGGACAACTGTGGGGAGAACTCCTTAAATCTTGAGATTGAGGGTGGAGGACTCTGCCTCCCCCTAGACCCAGACAATGGCAGTATGAAAGGAAAATGTGAGATCAGAACATGTGGCCTCTTGGAGGGGAGTCATAGGGCAGAAGGAGCCTTTCTTTTAAGGGGTAAGAAACAAACTGGACTTACAACTCGGGAGCATTTTAGAGAACCAGATGAGGTGGAGGGATGTACACTTGCCCCAGGTCATGGACACCTGTACAATCTAGTTTCCCAGTATTTTTATGAATGGAGATTGGGCCCCATGACACCTACTCTGTCTTCCTTCTTTTATATGTTGCCTGATCACCCTTTCTCTCCTTGGTGCTTACATACTTCAGACCCTTTAGCCAAACCCTTGCCTATGACAGTATTTTAGTCAGCAGTTCTCACTGTTCCCCCTGGTCATTGAGCGTTTGGGGGAAAAAAACAGCTTATATGGAATGGGGCTTGGTTCAACAGGTGACTTTAACTGCACCTCTACTTCCGGCTCCTCAAAACCAGTGGGTTGGCAGTAATGCTGTGTGGAAATTTTCCCATTTCTCAGTGACCAGATTGTGAATATTTCCAAATGGGTTTTCTATTATTAATGTTACTGTGGTTCTTTGTTTTGAAATAAAAATTCTGAATGTACATATGACATCATGGGCTTGCTGATTTGGTTTGGTTTGGGTTTTTGTTTTTTTTTTTGTCCTTCCTGTAACAAAATCAGCTTTAAATCCTGGTTTGGCCACTCAGTACCTGTTACCCTGGAGTAAGCTTCCTAAAAGTCTAATACATACGAAAATAGTGGTACTTGTTCATGATGCAGATGAGATGAACAGCCTTAGTGTGTTGCTTTCTTTCCCCAGTGAGAATTCTTTTCTCTCACTTCCTTACCCCTCTGGTCTTTGCTCTCTGAAACTCATCCTATGCTGATGTCAGGATATCCATATTACATGTATTTAAGATTTTATTTTTGAGTAATCTCTACACCCAACGTAGGGCTGGAACCTACAACCCCAAGATCAAGGGTTGCACGTCCCCCCAACTGAGCCAGCCAGGTGCCCCCATAATACATTTATGTCACCATCCTACTTAAGATCCTTCAGTAGCTTCCAGTCAACTACAGAAAATAAAACTTAAGCCCCCTACCGATGTAACACACACCCCCCACCCCAGGACAAGGTCCCTGTTACCTTTTTAGTTTATCATTTCTTAGCTCCCATTTAGACAAGAAAACACCCACACCCACTTCATCACTCTTTTAACACCTTCATGCCTTCATTTATGGACTTTACATTTATGGACTTCTGATATTCCCTCCGCTACGTTTCCCCGTCCTTACTAAAGCTATTTGAATGGCTACTTTTTTTATTTTATTTTTTGGTTGTCAAATGATCCTTTATTGAAACATTTTCCTTTGTAGTTGACTAGCTGGGCATTCCACCACACCACTGTTGATGTCATCTGTGATGTCATGAGGGTGGTGGCCATCAACATGGCAGCCCACAGACTGGGCACTCCCCAGGATTTCTTTAATGGTTCCAGAGTGTTCTCTGTCTAAAGATCGGTGTCGCATCTCTTGGCCAATATTGACGATCTCATCAAAAGTGATAGTTTCACTGTGCTTAATGTTTTTCTGCTTCTTTCTGTCTCTTGGTGGTTCCTTGAGGGCTTTGATAATCAGGGCAGAGGCAGAAGGTCCCACTTCAATCTGGGCCTGTCTGTTCTGAGGGGTCAGTTTCACTGTAATCCTTAGACCCTTCCAATCACCGGTTGCCGTGGCGATGTCATCACCAACCTTTTTTGGAGACAGACCCAGCGGGCCGATCTTCGGGGCCAGGGCAGACATGGCACCGACTTCGCCACGGGGGCACCTCAGGTACACGACTTTGATCTCATTGGGGTCAAACTTAGGCGGCATGGCAGAGCTGGCTGGTGTCGGATGAACCCGGATTCGGGACGGCCGAAGAAAGTTGCACCTTTGCCTCCCCGAGCCGAAAGCCAAAAGCGGCTACTTTTTATTTCTATTTAGCCCAAGCATGAGCTCCATAAAGCCTTCCTTACGGGCAAACATAATCCTCACACTGGTACTCTTATGTTAGGAATGACAATGAAACCCTGAATATCCTGAAAGAGCTTGGTGACTGCACCATATTCTCCTTAACTCTGGGGATATTAGATCCCTTTTTCCATCTTTGTTTCTTTTAATCCATTCTCCAATAACCAGAGTAGTCAAAAAGATCATGTCACTCCCCCGCTTAAAGCCTTCCGATTACATCTTGTCACACTTAAAATAGCATCCAGACTCCTTTACTGTGGCCTGTAAGTTCGGTGACCATACATCCCAGATGACTCCTATTACCCTGGTGTAACGTAGAATACATTGCTTTCATTCATTATCAAAACCCCTCTAAAAATATCTTCTGGTTACTCTACCTAAAAGGTTTACTTCTTCAACTTCATCTCTCATTACTCTTTGCTCACAGAAGTCTAGCCCCACTGGGCCTTCTGTTTCTCAAATATATCAAGTTCATTATCAATAGGTTCTTTGCACTTGTCCCCTTGTGTTTAGAATATTCTGCCTCAAAATTTTGTATGGCTCAGTCTATCTTGTAAGTTAGGTCTTAGTTAACAACCTCTGTAGAATATAAGCTCAAAAGCAAGAACCTTGTCTGTCTCACTCCTGCCTCGAACACTGCTGGACATACAATTGATTAACTGTCATCAGTCTGGCTGGTTCCTATCAAAAGACAGAAACTATGGGCGCCTGGGTGGCTCAGTCGTTAAGCATCTGCCTTCGGCTCGGGTCATGATCTGCGTCGGGCTCCCTGCTCGCTGGGAGGCCTGCTTCTCCCTCTCCCAGTAACCATGCTTGTGTTCCCTCTCTCACCGTGTCTCTCTCAAATAAAATCTCTAAAAAAAAAAAAAAAAAAGACAGAAACTACACACTGGTTTAAACAGAGAAAGTGAAACATAAAGAATGTCAAGCTGGGGGGCGCCTGGGTGGCTCAGTTGGTTAAGCGACTGCCTTCGGTTCAGGTCATGATCCCAGGGTCCTGGGATCGAGC